CAAGTGACACTTATTACCTGCCTGTTTCCCAAAGTCATAAAATGCCACACTGCTCTCTTCTTCACATATCGTGGCCACATATGAAGAACAAAGACAGGAATGTCACTGCCATTTGGGCAACCAGAGTGATCAGAGAGTCCACGTGTTTAGATTTTATAACCTTTAACGTGTTGGAGAGAATCAGAACCAACAGTCTTCCCTTTTACAATGTGTAACAGTCCTCCTTTCAGCAGGACCAATGATGTTTTAGGTTAACATCATGAGTGCTTGTAATCTTGAAGCAGAAAACAAAGCCGGCACACAATACTCATGAAAAGTTCCACATCAGTTGGCAATTGCCACACCACGATATGGTCTGGCCCAGGATTCTGTCCCTGACAGAAACCGTAAGATGTTTCCAGGACAGGCTGTCTAACATCATCACCTTGTTAGATCTCTCACAGGTAAACCTAAACCGATTTGTAATCTCGTATAAACTTATGTAGGACAGAAAAGGCTCCCGCATCTTTTCTTACCAGCTCAAGACCAACACTGACCTCTTGGGCCTCTTCTCAAGCCATCGCTCCACCTTTGAGAGCAGTGTGGTGGCATTCAGAGTTAGAAGCACTGTCACTTAAACTTCAGGTAAGTCCCTAACTTTAGGGCAGTCACCTCAAATTAAGTCAGTAAGAAACAAAAGCGTCTTGTCCTCTCCTGACCACGGGAAGCACCCACTTAAACAGCACCTACTGTCTTTATGCTGTTGGTTTCTATGCCTGCAGGAAAGGGAGATCAGTTGCTCACCATCCCTCCCTTACAGAACTGTTGTGGGGAAGCAGGAGACCCTGTTCAAATGCTACAGAGTCAGGTAAAGCATGTATCTCTGAGTAGAGTTCTGGTATCTGTGAGAATTTTGTTATTTTAGAAAGTTCACATAATGCACCTCACATTAAAAGAAAAAAAACTTTTAGAACAACTCATGTGAGCCTCTGCTACCCCTTCCAGAATCTGAACCCTGGATCCGGAAGGAGCCTTATGGGTGCATACACCAGTTCCCAGTCCCACTTTGTACATGAAGACCCTGCAGCCCAGAGAAGCTGGGTGGCGTCTTAATCTTCTAATTTCCTAGGGGGGGAAATTATCATTCTTGTGTGTCTCTCTCTGCAGAGGCCCTTTGGTCACCTCTCCTTGGCGCCTGACGTCTGCATAACTGTAAGGAAGAAAAGTCATTTCTGAAGTTTCCTGCCAGAGACCCTGATCAGTAGGAGGCCTTTACACAGACATCTTGGGCAAGTTCAAGTCCCCTTCTCCCCCAGTGCCTTCTCTGGCCGCTCCCTGTTCTGATTACAGAGATGCTCACCTGCTTTGTGCAAGGCCTGCTTTGTGCTATTATTCAACTTGTTATGGGGATACAGTATCCACTCCACCGTCTCAGACCTATTCTATCCATGTGCCTCACGGTTCTAGAGAGTTCTGAATTAGAATATTACACGACTAAACTTCAGCACATATAGCAAGAAGGATGCGAGGATTCAATCAGTTTAACCAGCACTTAGCACCCTAAAGCGCCTAATGCTTCAGCCCTGGAGAAAGAAGACAAGAAACAAACCATGCTCACAAAGCCTACATTCTGGTCAAGAAGGCAAAGCCTGAACTTCCATGAAACGAGGAGTTCCAATACAAACGAGAAGTTCATCACCTGCTGAGAAGACTGTGCTTGGGTGGATGGACTCCCAATTTCTGGGCAGAGGAAGAAGGCGTGGCCCTTGACTGTACCCACGAAGACTAAGCGGGAAGAAACGCGCACACTGCGCTTCCGAGATTTTCAACACCCTGGCTACATACACCACAAGGAGAGTAAGGCTTAGATTGTTCTGAAAAACTGTTAGTCGCTTTTTGAAAAGAAGTGTAGAGGATTTACTTTATTACTGAGTTGGCAGAAATTATTAACTCAGAGTCTGCTGTTGCAGAAATTCAAATACTCCAGAGACTGGAACTGAAAACATACAGACAACTTTCCCCTTAAGAACTCCTTTGTCAAGGAGACGGTCGGTAAATGTTACTTTGTTATTTCCCTAACTTCTCAGCTACTTGTGGATATTAGGTCAGCTGCCCTGACATTGATTTTTCAAGCAAAAGCTAAGTTTGTTAACCATAATTGCATGCCCATAGAGGTAAGCATTACATGACACAATTCCCTGTCGCTTCTCTCAGAAGAGGTTTAATTTTAGTGTTGGCTCTTCAACACTGTCCCCATTTTTTTTCCATGAGCATCTTAAATATGTGTCAACTAACTATCCCAAAGTGGAGTTCATAATTGGTCAAGGTAGAGAAAAGCAGCTGGGTGCCGGCACTGCCTTCTTGGAGCTACCTCACACTCACCTGAGCCCAGGTCAATCCAGAGAAACTGCAGAATTATGGTCGCACCACCTCTGTCGGCAACCTATTCTGCCACGGCTCCAGTTTCTATATGGGGTTTGCTTCAAGCCACGCTCCTGTCAAAAGGTTCTAACAATGCTCATAGATGGTCACTGGCAATGGCAGCATTTAAAGGAGGCACTTTTCTCATCACTCGTATCCAGAGACAGTTTCCCAATTCCATCCACCACGCTCACATTTAGCAGGACTCTATGCACACCCATCACTAAAGTCCCCCCCAGACAAGCCATTTGACATGTGAACCCCATGCCATTACAGCAACCATGGGCTCCTATGAATGAACACCACTGTACACACTAAAATACAACAAAAATGAGATTTGTTTCCTCTCCCGCTTCTGGCTAACCCCCCTTCCTTGTTGCCCTCCCCTCCTCTCCCCCTAGGAACCCTTTAGATTACAGCCTTACACAATACTGGAACCTCTGAGGTCACCGCCCTACCTAATCTACAACATATCATGACCGCCTGTCAAAGCGCCTCCTGATCCCAAAGCTCTCCTAGGTGGCATTAAGGATCAGTGCTAATATCTCAGCAACCTCTCAGATTCCCCGAAGGCAAACAAGCACGTGGAATTCAAGAAATTACACTCTGGACAAAAGATGCAAAAGTCACCAAGCTTTCATTTTTCATGTCATTTGTTTTATTCTCTAATATTTCAGTCTTAGGAACTGCAGCGGCTCCAGTTACTGCAAAATATTCTGGAAGGTTTTATATAGCTTGTGCCTACTCCACCCCCAAAGTCATAACAAAAATGTATACAACATTTGTTGAAGACAATTACCACCAAGTCGATCTTAATGGGGCCTGAAGACTAGGAACAAGAGGATTACTTATGATACAAAAACCAGAGACTTACAGACACCGTAACTCCTCAATTTCTACCAAAATTATACAAGCCAATGTGAATTATTCCAAAAATACCAGGCTAAAGCACAGCCCTAAGAGTAATTAGTCAAACCAATGTAAAGGAAAAACAAAAACCCTACAGTGACAGAAACCGGAGTTACCTGGCCCAAGACAAAAAGGTTTTTTCCTTGGATCTCCAGCATATTAAAAAGTGATCTCAATGGCCACTTCCTGGTCTCCCAGCAAATGCAGGGGCTCATCTCATACCTGCCACATCTTCCTACTGCTCAACCTGTTCCTGCCACAGGAGAAAATGACCCCTACTGCCAACAATCCCTTTGAGAAAACATGAGGGGAGACACTACGAGTCTTCCCCTACACACGCGAAGAGGGGCAGAGAAGATCTCTCTGCAAACAGTAGCCTCGGTGGAGGACCATCTAAAAAAGCAACACCCTGGGGTTGACCCTGACCCTCTAAGTGACAAGCCACCAAGCCGGAACCCTCAGGTGGGGGGAAGTAATAGCCGAAGGAGCGTTCTTGAAGAACAGGAAAGAAAATCACCACCTCTAATTCACACCAAAAAGCGGGGCTCTGGCTTGGTCAGAAGACGCAATGGGCATTTAGGCCTAGAAAGGCAACAGGAAGGATCCCACCCTCCCCACGATCATCTACCGTCGGCAGCGATCCCAGGAGGGACTCGGCAAAGGCATGTCCACTCGCAGAACCAAGGGGGGACTCTCCACGCGCCCTGGGCACCCGGCTAAGGGCAAAGTAGGCTGGGGGCGGGGAGGGGGGGTCCCTCTGAAGCCAGGAAGATGCTTCCAGCCGGGAGAAGAGGAAAGGAGGACTTTCCTGATCACCCAGAAGGCCGAGACACAGGCGGCACAGGCGCCCGAGTCATACCCCGGACACCAGTTGCTCCACAGCCTTTCTCCCTCCCCTCCCCCCCCGCCGGGAAGACTTCCCGGGGGTCGCGGGTCCCCGGGGAAGGGCAAGGCGGGTGAGCTTCGTAAGGAGCAGTAAGGGTCATACATCTGGAGCGGAAAAAAAGGCAAAGCTCTGGCCTCAGTTCCCTTCTGCTCCCTCCGCCCAGGCCGCACGGAAGCCTCGGCCTCACGTACCCAGCGCCGCCAGACTGCCTGACCTGCCCCCGGCTCGGGCCCGTGGGGCGAGAGACCGGGATGGCAGCGGCCCTCGGGGGCAGGTGGGCGTCGGGCGGGTTCCCCGGAGCCCGGCGGGCGAGGGGCATTGGGGAGGGGGAGGGTCCCGGGCCCACGCGGCCTCCGTCCCGGCCCGCGCAGCGGGTTCTTACGTTGCTCTGGGGGTCGATGGCCTGCAGCAGCCGGTCCCTGATCTGCTGCGGAGACGCCGGAGCCGCTGTCATTGCCTGGGCGAGGCGGGGGGGAGCGGCCGGGCCAGCGGGCGGGCGGGCTGAGGCGGGGGACGGGGGTCACTCACTCGCCGGCCTCCGGGAGCGGAGCCTCATGTTCCCCGCGGTGCCGGGGAAGGAGGGGGCACGCGGGGTGGCGGAGAGGGGAGCCGGGGCTCGGGCCCGGGGCGCCACCGCCACCGCCACCAGAGGAGGAGGAGGAGCCACCGGAGCCGCCGCCGCTGCTGCCGCCGCCTCGAGAACCAAACTCCAGTGAGCTGCCCCTGCGCGGAGCACTCTGGGTAACCCGCGCCGCACGCAGCGTCGGCGCCACGCTGAGGAGGTTGGGAGATAGGGCGGGCAGAGACGCCGGGTCTGGGCGGGGCCGCGTGCGAACCACGCCCCGCACCCCCACGCATGCGCGCGCAGGCGTACTGGTCCGCCGCCCCGCCCCGCCCACCGCCCGCCGGAGGTAGCCGTTGGGAGGCGGTTGGGCGGGGCAACGGCCGCCGCTTGGAGGCCCCGCCCCCGGCTGGGCCCTGGGGAGCTGAGGTTTCCGACGGAAACGGGCGGTGCGCGCCGAGTCCTTGAACCTGGGCACTCCGGTCGGCCGCCTCAGGGTTGGCGGCGGAAGGACTCTTCGTTGGGGAGAAAAGCCTTCCCCGCACCGAAGGAGGTGACGGGAGTCGCGGGCGGGAGAAGTTGACAAGTTTTCCGAGCCTGGGGTCCCCAGTCCCTCGATCGCGGTTCCTGGAGGCGAGGGTGCCAAGTCCACGTTGTGATAATGCGCGCGGAAGGGTCATCTTTAGAGGAGCAGAGGGATGCGCCCACCCCTCCAGAGGGCGGGGGTCTGCAGTGCTTCGCGTGCTGGGATCACCAACACATGAGACAGCGAAGCGCCTCTCGGGAGAGCCCTCACTCCAGCTAGAAAGCCCCAAAGCCAGCCCCTTGAGCCCACCGACACCCAACGTTGCAAATGTGTGTCAACGCCAGGGTTTCTCATCCTGGGCACCAGTGACATTTGCGGCCGGCTCACTGTTGTAGGGGCCGTCCTGTGCATTTTAAGATATTCAGCATCCTGGGTTTCTACCTACTAAACGCCAGGAGCACTGTCTCCTCCAGTCAGGTCAACCAAAAATGTCCAGTCATCGCCAGAGGTCCCCTGGCGGGCAGAACGTCCCCTGTTGAGAACCACTGGTTTAAAAGACCCACCCTGCTTTGCGTGGAATGAAATCCTCATTCTCTGAACAATACATTTCACAAAGGAAGACATTGAGGCCCAAGGTCACCCAGAGTTACAGGTCAAACCCAGAATTAAACGTCAAGTCTAGGGAGTCTCTTTCCCATCTCCACTTTACTGCCTCTTTTTGTTTTTTCTTCCACTGCTCTCTGCTAGCTCCAGCGCTCGCTCGCTCTCTGGAAGCCCTGTTAGAAATACTGTTATGAGAAGGGGTGAAAAGGCAGGCTGAGTGGATTATTAGCCGCAGCCTCCGGAGAAATAAATTTTTTTGTTGTTACAGGAAGACCTAGATTTAAAACAGGAGCGAGGCAGCTGATGAGAACCACACACGCGCCTTGGATCTGTGCTACACCTGTGAGTCTTGCATTTGTCATGCTTCTGGGAAGCGTTTTTGCAAAAACGGCTGTTTCTGCACGTGGTTGTGTCTGCTTCCTTCTGCACATGTGAAAAGTTTTACATCACACTTGCAGGAGAAAATAAACATGGGCAAAAAACTTCTTTTTAATTTACTCACTGTCCCTCCTAGAATGAGGTGCTTTGTGTACATGGTCCAGGTTGGAAACCAGCCAATTTGGAGATACTCTTTATCTCACTTCAGATAAGCAAAATAAACAAGCTCTCCCTCCAAGCATATTCTGGTCCTGCCTTTCTTTTAATTTCTAACTCAGATGTACAGTCTCTTATTTATTTTTTTAATCAAGGATCACATAGACATAAGCAATTTGTTTTGCATGGGCCAGGTCATTTAAGAAAAAATTTGGAAAACACTCAACTTACCTGCCCTTTTTAAAACTAAGAGGCAACATTAAGATGACTGAGTTCTGTAAGGGCACTGACTCTACTCAGTGTCCCCATTAGAACAATGCCTATTACATATTTTTGAAATAAGTGAATGAACATGTCACCAATACATGACAGCTGTATACACACACCCAGACAGAGGTATTAACTGTTCAGTTCCATAGATGGGGGACACAGTGGGGCTCCATAAATATTTAATGAAATATTAAGTATAATACTATATACACATTAGGATGCACCTATTCATGCAGATAACTATATATATATGCATAGTTTTAGTTATATATATATATATATATATATATATAGTTTTATTCCACATTTAACATATATGTAGTAGTAAAATTAAATCAGATCGCCACTCAATGGTAGTCTTGAAAACGTTAGCTTCCCTTAGGTCCAAGATAGATGCTGCAGTTCACCTAGCAAGACTTTCTTTTTTTTTTTTTTTTTTTTTTTTTT